TCTTTTCGCTAAGATCCGGGATGTCGACACTCGGATTGAACTGAGGCATTATGGGAGCTCTAGGTAGGAGTTTGATAAAAGAAGTTTCGCTCAAGTGAAAAGTAACTGTTGATGATTCTGTGGTGAGTGAGTATTGCAGGAAGACTGTTGATGCATTCAGCGTGTCTACTATTTATACCAAAATTTCTCCAATCCATCAGCTTGTCAGGCCATAACACCATCCGTTAAATCCTTCATTCCGCGGATTTACATTCGTCACTGGCAATTTGACCTGAATCAGTGCGAAACCTCTGGTCAGGGTCATTTTTAGCCCAATGCCAAGCCTTTTGTGTTTTCCCGATTTGGCAATAGTTGGAGATCTCCGGAGTTTATCTCAGCCGAGGCCGTAATAAGCAAAAAAGTGATGTCACCCGCTCGGCATATCCAGTTCCAGTTGAAGCTTAGTTTAGAAGCTGCCGTTGTACTCGGGGACTGGCACATGTAAACAGGCTAAAGGTTGGGTTCAGCTGCTCAATGTTGTATTTCCACGGCTTTTATTCATGGCAGACCGAACCAAAGTCCTAGTTCACTACCTAGCTCTACCGCTACTACCACTTGAGATTCTCTGCCGATGCAAGCGGTTGCTTGTGCCAGTTCCTCTCATCCGACGTAGTGTTCGTTTGGATCCTTGCGATATCCTCTGCCGACGGTGTCCTCCACTTCCAAAGCTGGGTGTACTCGTTGCTCTTACCCTCAAGCACGTCGACAACGTATTCTCCAAGAACCGGAAGAAATTTGAAGCCTATTGAGATGTCAGAAAATCTCTCAAGTTGAACAAAAAATAAAACTAAATAGTCCATACCGTGCCCGCTGCCGCCTGTGACAACAACAAGGCCCTCCGTTGAAGGAACTCTGTCCATGACAAATTGGAGATCAACCGTATCGGTGTACCAGCACATCTTAGCCAAAGTGATTTCCTCCCCGACCAGTTCCGGCAAATTCTCTTTGATGAACGCCTTTGTTTCCTCCAAGGGGGACAGAGGCGGTCCACCGTGACTGGCAATCTCCTCGATAGTCACAGGAATCGAAATTAGAGCTTCTTGTGAAGTCGATGCTACGGGGTTTGTCCATTTAGGCGATCGATATGAAATCTTCAAGTTTCCATGTCCTAAGAAAATGAGTTAGGTCTGGAGAATGTCACGACCAGATTGACAAGCATGAGGAGAAAAAGAAATTCGTACTGTCCACTGGAAACCCTGTGAGGCCGCCACTTTCTGAGTTCCCCGAGTAGTTCCATGCCCAGGTGGGAAAGACATCGGCCTCGTATCGATGCCGGACATGCTCGGGGACCTTGACGAAGATAAAGTTGCCAGCAGTTGCGGTCACAAATGACTGCAGTTCTGGGACAATTTGTGGTGTGTACGGGCCAGCTGCCACAATCACATAATCAGCTCTGTGCTCCTTTCCGTCTTTAGTTTTGATTCCAATAACACGGTCAGGCTCATTCTCGGCACGGATGAATTCGGTGAATTCTCCTTGACCTGGACCGAAGATCGTTGTGGCGCCCCCGGACTTGGCCAACTGGAGAGCATACTTGCATGCAAGGTCTGCTTGGACCATGCCTGCATTTGCGTCAAATACGCCATCCAGTGGCAAGCCTCGCTCCCGCCTGTTAAACTGGTCGAACCTGGGCCCGTACCATCCTTGCTGCCGGGCTCTCTTCAAGTCCTCATCGTTGTTGAGGAAGTACTGGGTGTCCCCAAGCCCGACAAGCTTTAGAGTATTGAAAGTAGCAATATCGACATCCTGGGGTCTTCCGATATCAGTCACTCGGGCCCATCCAGAATGAGAGAACAACTCGACACCAGAGTCGGCATTCCACTGCTTCCAAGTGCCAATGGCTCGGTTTGCAAGGTCTTGCAGGGGCTTGTTAGGTCCATAGGCGCTACGAATCACCTTGTGGCTATCTAATAATCATGAGTTCTTTCCATATCGATGATTTCGGGCTATCAAAAATACAATACACACTCACCTGCAGATGCTGAATCGCCACCGTCGAATGGAGAGTAGGCAGACTTGTGATAATCTTGCTTGTCAAAGATTGTCACGTTCTTGAACCCTCGATGCTGCAGATGAATAGCTGTGGAAAGGCCAAAGACTCCCGCGCCTGAGCATTACCGCCTTGGTTAGCCAGTTGAAATGGTTCATCTGTTGACACTTTTCACCCACCGACGATGATAAAAGAACTACCAGGACTAGCCATATTTGCGATCACGGACTCGACAAAGTATATCCGGTAATATTCCCGGATGCTCCTGAATCGTGCCACTGGAGCTATTGGTAGTATTATACCTGCCCAGCCAACCCTCAGTGGATCAAGAAATACCCATAGTCACGAATAATACCTTCTCCTTCATGCTATAGACACTTTTAGTAATCGCTCAGACGACTTAAGATGGCATCTATGGCATCATCCTATTCGCCGTCTCCATATTCAAGTAATGCACCATTTGGTTATCCGGATGGAGGTGAGCCGAATCGGTTCGCAGCCAATCAACTTTCCCAGCTTGGAGCTATATATGTGGGGTGGGGAAATGATGTAATGCCTCGACAATATTGTGCCATTTCGAACCAAGAAGCGAAATCGGACGACCGTTCAAAGTCCCGGGGTTCCTAGTCGGCGACTAACAGTCCCTAGAACGGCCAGGTCTGAAGGGACCAGCTGGGATCTTAGATCCACCAGCTCGCCGTGAAGAGGGTAACTGAGTGAATAAGATCCCATGCTAGAATCCTCTAATTTGGCGTTCAAATGTTGGAATCGCCGGTTCTCAATATGTCACCCATGAGGAGGGTTGCAGTCATCGGTGCTGGTCCATCTGGAGCAGCAGCCGCAGAAGCACTCAAACAAGCTCAGGCTTTTGACGTGATTCGAGTCTTCGAGCGTAGAGGCGAGGTGGGCGGCGCATGGTATGTAACATGACACATCTGCTCATTCTAGCTATCATTGTTAATTAGATGAACATAGGAATTTTGACCCAGCGCCCAATGTACCTAGAGCAGATCCTCTGGTTCATCCCAGTACAGCAGATCCTCCACTAGAACCGCCGGCCGAGCTCCCAGCAACTACACCAAAGAGCACATCAGAGAGATGGATCACAGCGCCCGTGTACGAGAATCTCACCACCAACGTCAACGTTGTAAGATCGTGCAAGAGAAACCCAGTGCGTCCAAGCATACTAACACCAAGTTTGATAGGAAATCATGTCATATACCTATCTCCATTTCTCGGACGTAGACAAAACACCCCCGGCAGAGGACCATGATCCCATGTTTCCTTCTGCAGCCCGGGTGTTGAAATATATTCAGACTCTTCATAGCAGGCACTTAGACTACCTGGTCCTAAACACTACCCTGGAACAGGCAGTCAAACAGGATAATGAATGGCTTTTGACCTTGAGACGGGCGGATACAGAAACGGACTATTGGTACACAGAGACTTTCGACGCTCTTGTCGTCGCCACTGGCATCTATTCTGTTCCTAGAATACCAGATATCCCAGGGCTCCGTGATTACAACCGCAACTTTCCGGGAAGGGCATTGCACTCCAAGTACTTCCGGTCGGTACAAGTGTTCAAAGCTCAGGTACGTCTTGCGGATTAAGGCTTAAGAAATGGGAAAATACTAACAGTCCGGGCCAACAGTCGGTCTTGGTGGTTGGAAACGGCATAACTGCACTTGATCTGATCCGGGACCTCATGCCAGTAGCGTCCAATCTCACAGTAAGTCATCGATCTCCCAGCTGGATGTATCCCACGTCCCTGGTGGGGGTGCCTGGAATATCTGTTCGTTCCCAGCTCCAGCGTCTCGATCCGGAAAATGGGGACTGCTTCTTCGCAGATGGAGGACCTCCCTTCCGGCCGGACGCCATTATCTTCGCTACGGGATATCATGTTTCATTCCCGTTCTTATCCCCGCCGTACGCTAGCCACAACCATGGTAGCTCCTTGGCAGCGGATTGGGTCCCTGGAACATATCTACACACATTCCATCAACAGGACCCAACACTGTCCTTTGTCGGGCTCGTCCAAAACAGTGTTTCATTTCGAATTTTCGAATATCAAGCAGCTATTGTCGCGGCATTTCTTGCTGGGAGACTTCAACTACCTGTATTAGAAGAAATGCAACGGTGGGAAAAAGAGCGGCTGCAGGAAGTGAACAACAACTCAGCCCTCTTTCACTACAACAAATACCCAAATAGTGTCGATTTCCTGAACCAGCTACATGCCCTGCTGAAGCAGACCAATGGGCCTGGGCTACAGCTTCACAGTTGGCAAGATGAATGGACCCCGAAATACATAGCAGGCATCGAGGAGAGGAAACGCAGGGTTGAGAAGCTGAAAACTCTCCACATCACTGGAACTGTGTTGTAACTAGCTAGAATAGCCTGAGAGATTAAAAAGTTTTTTGATCCTGCGAGCATTCAGTCCGTAATTCTAAGCTCAAAGTGACAAGGGTTTGCATCTACCACTCTTCAGGGTGGGCTCGCAGGACAAGGGTCCGCGGAGAAGATAGGTGAACCCACGTGGTGTTGATGAGCCTAAATCAAACTAACGAGTACATTAATCATATTGAGCTGCATGAGATGGAGCAACTGAACACATGTTAAGAAAGAATTATGCTCGATTCTCGCAGAGAAGTTGATTGATACCCACACTAACCCATCACCAGTGTGCCGCATAGCCGCGTGTCTCCGTGTGTCGGTGTCCGGGTGGAGCTTTGATTCGGACGGTGACCAAAACGCCGGGATCCTAGATATTGCGTCAGTTTAGGGCGGGATTTGGTGATTTAACGTTGTGTTGCAAAGAGGTGGCATTAATCTATCAACCCCTGTAGAGTGGGTTGACACGGTATGTTGCATTGGTATTAAACTTGGTCACTGGTCTTTGACAAGTCTGCATATCCATTGCCGATCACTTTCAACCTTCAACGCCTGTGCTACTGCTCAGATTGACTGATTAAAGATGACTGTAGACAAGGGCGTCGAAAGCCCGGTCACGTCCGAAGTGGGTAACGAGGAAGCCGGTGTTCAACATGTCGTTATAGAGGAGATCACAATCGATCCTGAGGAGGAGAGGAAACTCCTGTGGAAGATTGATCTTCGCGTGATGCCTCTTCTCTTTTTCATGTATTTCTTCAAGTACGCCTTCTCTGTATTACCACTATTCTCTCTTTTGCGACCTAACAATGTTTCATAGTTCACTGGATCGGAACAACTTGGGAGCAGCCAAAACCGACGGCATTGATACGGACCTGGGATTTTCCAAGTATCAGTACAACATCTTGGTTTCAGTCTTTTACGTCCCTTATTGCGCGTAAGCTATTCATCTGTGGGAAACTACCCGGGTTGCGAAAGCTGACCCCCATTCCAGATTAACAGTTCCAGCCAACATCCTAACACGTAAGCTCTCTGCGCGATGGACTCTGCCATCCTACCTGCTTTTCTGGGGTGCCACAGTCATCCTGTCCCCCGCATGCCACAACTTTGGAGGACTTGCTGCCCTTCGAATTCTCCTAGGAGTGGCCGAAGCCGGATTTGGTGTTGGCGGAGTTTTCTATCTCACCCAGTTCTACAAGCGTGATGAGTTGGCCAAGAGAATTGCGCTCTTCTACGGCAGCCAAACCGTTTCAGGTGCCTTTTCTGGCCTGATTGCCTTTGGCGTCTTCCAAATCAAGGGCCACCTGTACGGCTGGCAGTATCTCTACCTGGTCGAGGGAGCTCTGACTATTTTGATTGGTGCCATTGCTCTGTGGGTGTTCTTTCACCTGTCGAGTGTTATCTTGTCTTGTGCTGACGCGGGAACAGTGTCTTCCTACCACAACCTCCTCACGCCGCAAAGTTCCTTAATGAGCGCGAGAGGGAAATTTGCCGCCTGAGATCACTCAAGGATGCGTCCCAAGCCGTTGGTTCCAAGTTCGAACTTCGCGACTTCTTCGCGCCACTCAAGGATTGGAAACTCTGGGTTTGGGCCTTTATCGCGTTTTGCTTTGGCGTCACCAACTCTTCTGTCGGGAACTTCACCCCACTGATCGTTGCCAAGCTGGTATGTGAAGCTGAATCCTTAATTATGGCTCGACAATTCCACTAACCAGACTGCCTTTAGGGATACAATGCCGTTAAGACCAACCTATACACTGTTGCCCCCTACTTGGTTTCGGCTGTCATTCTCTTTGCGACAGCTGTCAGCTCAGATCATTTCCGTGAACGTACATACCATCTCATCTCTGCCTTCACAATGGTAAATATCAACCTATAAAAATGACAAAAATTTTCACTTACTCACTATTTCCAGTCTTGTGTTGGTTTTATCATCATCGCATCTATTGATGTGGAGAAGAACATCGGTGTCGCCTATTTTGCAGTCTTCCTCATCGTGGGCGGATGCTTCACACCATCTATCATCTTCCATTCCTGGCATCAAAACAACGTGCTATCCGAAAACAGACGAGCTTTGTTAGTACCCACCTCTAGCATGCACCATCTGGTGTCCTTCTAACCTTCCACATTTTAGCAACATTGCCTTCATCACCTTCTTTGGTAACGCCGCTGGTCTTGTCTCCAGCAACGTCTTTACTCCTGACAGCGCCCCCAAGTACATCCCAGCTCTTGTCACCAATTACACCTTCCTTGCTGCTGCCATTGTGGCTACCCTTTCCATGAGACTCTGGATGCAACGTCAAAACGCTCTGCGAAACAAGGCCCAGGGAGTCAACTGGACGAGTGCAGACGTGCCAACGCATCTGTTGATTGCTAGCTCGACTGAGAACCCTCACCAGAACCCAAACTTCCGTTTCGTCATTTGAGACGGTAAATGCCTCATGAGTCTAGTATCTCCTAAGAAATCGAAGATCCTCTTTACTAGCACTACCCATAGATAATCATCAAAAGTAGCCTCGCTTTATATACCCAGCACTGAACAGATTAAACTTCAAGCAATATATCAATACTGCATTTAAAACAGTGGTTTACTCTGAACTGATAGAAAGATGCTGGAATAACACCCCCTCGGGTATCAGCAACCAATCCATCCAAACCAAATATCCGTAATACTTGAAGTCATTGTCGGCCGTTGTTAAGTTCAGGATGAAAAGTCATACCGCCATAACAACGCCTCTTACTCATAATAGGCAATGAAAGGATCACAAGAGATCAGAGGGAAATGAATTCAAGCGGTCAGGCTGTTGCCGATAAAAAGCGCCTAGAACTACTTTATAAACGAAAGATATCAATTGCCAAATCCTCTTTCAAACCACGAAGTGGTAGATACTTATTCGGCATGTATAAGTCATATTAAATGTTTAGGAATCAATGGTCATTGGAGAACGTGAGTGGCAGTGTAACGAACAAACGTCTTGGCGTGACAAGTAAGCAGGCAACGTCTGGTAAGGCAGAAACCCATGTCGGGTAAGGCACGAAGCCCCTCGGCACTGAAATAAGGAGGCCACGTGTTGGTGTTTACCTACATACACGCACGATAGTATGACTGGCTGCCACCCATATACACCAAGAAGAGAACTCTTGCTTCCTTAGTCTAAAATTGATTACTAGGTGGTTGAAGTTGGTCAGCTTCGCCGATACCAAGAAACTAGAATCAACCCAAAATGACTAGAGCCGGTCGCATTGCGAAAAGCCGAGCTGTATGTATTTGTTCTTTGCTTTCATTTTGCAGCAATTAACCATTCTCAGAATCAAGTATCCCGACAAATTGGATCTCCTCTGCCAAGACCTACAAGATTAAATCTTCGTCCACCCTTGGGGCGCAACCACCATGCCCCAGGCGACTCCAATCAAAGCTCCAGCTGGCATTCCAAGCTGCTCGAGGGTTTGTCCATGACTCTGGGGTCTGTAGCAGTGGTCGGCCTCGTTGGCTACGGCTACAATTGGTACTACAAGTCGCTTGTCCTGAGGAAGATGGAGACCGCATTCTCTGCGGGATATTCCAGTCTTGAGCAGGCCGCCCTTGCGCGGCAGTACTCAACGAGCGCGCAAGAAAAATTGGAATTGGCAGATGTCGAACATGGCAATTGGATTGCTAGGACTGAGCAAGCCCTCATTGACAAGATCGTGGACGGCACGGTTGCTGGTCACTACCATCTCATTTGCGGAGAGAGAGGCACAGGGAAAACCTCAATGCTGCTAGAAGCAACGCGAAAGGTGAATGGCGAAGGTGTCGCCACCATGGAAGCTCATGGAGATCTTGAGGTATTCCGGCTGCGCCTGGGCAAGGCTTTAAACTACGAGTTCCACGAGGACTATATTGGCTCTCTATTTAGCTTCAAAGGCCCGAGAGATGCTACCCCGCTCCTTGACATTGAAAGAGCCTTTAACAAGATGGAGAAGATTGCACTATATAGGCGAGAAACGGTCGGGAGACCGCTGGTACTGATCATCAATCGAGCGCACCTTCTACGAGACGACGATGAAGGGCGGCATTTGCTCGACGTGATCCAGCAAAGGGCGGAACTTTGGGCAGCAAGTAAGCTTGTGACCATTGTGTTCAACAGCGACGAGTATTGGATTGAAGAGCGCCTTAACCCTCAAGCGTTGCGCTTGCGTGTTCTTCCAGTCCATGATATCCCCCAAAACGTGGCCATTACTGCGCTCAAAAGCTTCAGATCCAAAATGTTCAGCGAAGATGTGCCTCTGGACACACTGGAGCAAGTCTACGCTAAAGTTGGCGGCCGGTTGCGCTTTCTCAGTCTTGTAGCCAAGTCTTAAGACATGCTCAAGACCTGTGAGCTACTTTATGCAAAGGAGAGGCGATGGTTCTTGAACCAATGCTGGATATATGGCAACGAGATGGATGACGATGCTGAAGATGATCAAGAATTTTGCGCCGCAGCCATGATCTTAGCCAAGGCCCTGGTTGAGAAGGAGAGCAGCTCCAGCGAGCTTTCTGATCCGGATAAACCTACACCTTTGCCCTATGTTGAGCTACATAAAGCGAGGCAAATAATGACACGGGCAGACTTCATCCAGCGCCTTGACCGTATCAACATATTTACCATAGACACTGATGCAATGGTCCGAGCTGATTCAGTCATCATGCAAAAGGTTTTTCATGATATTTGCACAAAGGAAGGATTTGACGAGCATCTAGAGGCTACACTAGAGCGGCTCGATGAATTAGAAGGCCTAGGGAGAACCTCCGAGGTGACATTCAAAGATCTTAATGGCGGCGGTGGCTATCAAGCTACAATTGATAAAGATGCATCCGGGAGGAAGGGTATATTTGTTTCATTGAAGCCCCCACCTAATTAATTATCTTTAGATTTCTATCTGCATCGTTGTAAGCGTCATCTAAGGTCTTTGTCTCGACAGGGGACTGTTCAAGCATAATATTTCTTTCTTTACCAATCAGTCGGATACTTGAGAGCTAGGAAAATTAATAGTACATGTTACGGGCGAGATTCTAGTTTGTTAGGATGATATTTATGGAACAGAAGGCTTAGTATCTGTCCAGAATGCAGATGGAATAACTCATGGCCAAAACGGGTAGCAGCGAGACGCACACCCAGATATGTGGACAAGGGTCGGCGACCACTTGGGACCGCCCGGAAGACGCGACGTTGATAAAGGAGACGGGAACTCCGGTCGAGAGGCGATCCGGTGTCCTTTCAAACTGTGATTGTGAGCTAGAAGCTTTGTGGCAGCTACATCTAGTGAAGGTGAGGAAATCCATGGCAAACCATTGCAGGGAGTAATGGCCGGGTGGCCCCTGGTATCTCCTCAGCAGCAGCATCATGCCTTGGGTATGCTGATTTAGTGGCGCTGGGATAGGTAGTAATAGTCAATGACGAGAGTAAGCTTACGGAAACAGGCTATATAAGCAACATCATGAACCACAACGGAGCTCCGTTTTGCACTTGCATAAGCCACCCCGGTGCTAGACCTCTACCATCTTCTATTTATCCAGAGCCTATTACCAAAAGTATTTTGTGAGCTGCAGGCTCGTTGGAAGCATTATTGCTAAACAGCATGTAGTAGCTAATTAAATCACTTTTCTCGTTTTCCATGTCTCAAGATACATGTTTCGACCCTCTCGTCTGTTTTTAGCAAGGCAGAAGCCGACACACAGGCGTACAGATGTGTTTATTTATGAAAGCACAAATATAATGGCAATCTCAATCTGATTGTAGCCTTGTACAGGCATGACAACTGGTGGAAATAAAGGATTCACTCCGCTTTGCAGGAGACCGGGGAGCAAACAGAGGCGACTTGCCTTAGTATTAGTTCATATTAAAGAGCATATTTGCACTCATGCTTGTGGTACTGAAGTCAACGCTGATTAGATGTTTATGTATTTATCATTTCTCTTCTCTCTTTCTCTAAAAATGCTGCTCGTATGGTTGCAAAAGGTGACCATGAGATATTCTTCTAGGGTCGAGGCTTAATACTGCCAAGTTAGTCCAGTTGCTCGAAGAAAAGGGATAAGGGCTTACCTCGCTTACAATACATTGCCAGCCTTTACCATCACCATAAGTCTCGCTGATAAGTTGAGCCTGGAAGAGGATCCGCTAATAACTTCCACGTTTGGGGGTATAATCGCGATCCTTGCCCGCTCAAGGGTGCCGGCTGAGGGGGCGGCAAGGATAGTGAAATCTACCACCACATACCGGTGTCAGGGGTCTTCATCAACAGGGTTGCCCCAGAACGGGAGTTAGGACGAAACTACCGCCTCTTTCTCGCAAGATTTGCCTCGCTAGAGAACCGAAATTGCGATGGTCCGAGCTTCGTGCTCTACAGCCGTGCTTTCATGTTAGTTGCCACTTCTCTCCGCATTCATCAGGCATCCCTTTGGACAAGCACCTCGCCAAATTTCTTACAGCGATAGCCGGGCGAGCATCTACCCAAAACAAATGCTTATATGTTATCTCCGTCTATCCAATCAACACAACCACAACGCTATAATCGTTCACTACCAATGTCAGGGTTGATATTCTCGTTCCCGCCAGTAGTTCCAATGAACCGTCCACCATGTTAGTATGTTGGATAGATATCACCATGAAAATTAAACCAAAGAGACAGCAGATCAAAGTAATAGTGTTATATATTTGGAATCTAGACAGTGTATATCCCTATACAAACACCACTTTGTGTTTTATAATCCAATAACCAAATTCTACCCTAACCACTCCCGACAACGTTCCAAAGCCTATTGCAACAAATGCTCGCGCTATTGACGAAGGCAGAGACATTGCCCAGAGTAGTTCCAAACAGATAAGCCAAAATCTTTAGACGGTATCGTACAAGCAGGTATTATCAAGGAATGACGTTCCTTTTGGCAGTCCTGCTCCCCCACCAAACCACTCTAGACACTTCATCACAACCCTTTACAGGCTGCGGCGGCCGCGGCTGCGAGAGTTGCGCTGAGGGCTAGGAGGGGTGATGACGATAGGGGGAGGAGTGGGAGGAGGAGTAGGAGGAGGGGTGTTCCTTCTCTTCTCAATATCTCCAAGACTGCGACGGCCACGGCTGCGAGAGTTGCGCTGGGGGCTAGGAGGAGTAATGACGATAGGAGGAGGAGTAGGAGGAGGGGTGGGAGGGGGAGTGTTCCTCCTTGGGCTCAGGTCTCCTAGACTGCGACGGCCACGGCTGCGAGAGTTACGCTGGGGGCTAGGAGGCGTGATAATGATCGGGGGAGGAGTGGGAGGAGGAGTAGGAGGCGGAGTGTTTCTCCTTGGGCTCAGGTCTCCTAGACTGCGACGACCGCGGCTGCGAGAGTTACGCTGGGGGCTGGGAGGCGTAATGATAATAGGCGGAGGAGTAGGAGGGGGAGTAGGAGGAGGCGTATTCCTCCTGGGGCTGAGACCTCCGTCCAGGCTTCGGCGGCCACGGCTGCGAGAGTTGCGCTGCGGGCTGGGAGGCGTGATGATGATCGGTGGAGGCGTAGGCGGGGGAGTAGGAGGTGGAGTGTTCCTCCTCTTCCCGAGACTGCGGCGGCCGCGGCTGCGGGAGTTTCGCTGCGGGCTAGGAGGTGTGATGATGATCGGGGGAGGAGTAGGAGGAGGGGTGGGAGGAGGGGTGTTCCTCCTCTTCCCGAGACCTCGTCGTCCTAGGCTGCGGCGGCCACGGCTGCGAGAGTTGCGCTGAGGGCTTGGAGGCGTGATAACGATAGGAGGTGGGGTTGGTGGAGGAGTAGGAGGAGGAGTGTTCCTTCTCACCTCGAGATCACCTCCCTCGATGTCTCGCTCCTCGAGATCCTCGTCGTCGCGGACTTCGAGCTCATCCTCAAGGATGTCGCGGATGTCAAGGTCATCCTCGAGAACGTCGCGAGCCTCGAAAAGGTAGCCACCATCGGAGACATCGTTCTCGCCACGGGCGACAAGCTCATTGTCCTCCAAAGAGTCGGCGACCACCTGCTGGCCAAGGCCAAAAAGGAGTGTCGAGATAACGGAAACTTGCTTGATGGAAACCATCATGAATGAAAGATTGCTGTTGAAACCAGCTAACAGAAAACTTTACAAAGGAAATGGTAAGATGAGAAAAAAAGGAAAAGAAGAGTGTATGAAAGAAGAAGCTGAGTTGAATGATGAGTTCCTTTCCATCAACTGCACGAAAAGCTCATCTTATATAGTTCCTGTTGATCGTTCCAGAGGTTCCCTTTCCAGTACGTACTCCAGAGAACATGGCCGACTAGGGTGAAGTAAAAATAACTGTGCCTGAATCCTGCATCTCACCCTCCATCCTTTGGTCAATACATTCCCCGTTGCAGGATTAGCGGCAGTCGCTCACTTGCCTCCTTCCCCCGGCAATCGAGCCCAATGAACCACGGTCAGTGTTTAGCGAGAGTGCTGCGGCCGCTCAAATTTCACCCCTTTCCTAGAGGAACAGAGACAAGGTCTTCTGCTTACTTTGCCAATCTACTGTTGGGTTCGCCGTGAAGCTCCCAGCGGCTCTGGGTTTTTGGATCTGCCCTAAGCTCTGTGTTTCAGAGAGGCCGCCGCTATTACTACAAGTATCCACAGGTATGTATGCCGTTTGCCGTCCCAACAGCCTGATGTACCTATGAATAGCATCTGAAAACTAGCAAACTAGTACACCGAGCTATAGGACCAAGTCGGCTCAATGATGAATGCATGAGAGTGGACCAGTCGCCAGTCCAGCCAAAGAACGTCCCGCGGGAACGGACCAGAATGGCCGCCCCAACAGGCACGCGACAGTTGGAGCGGAGTCACATCTGGATTGGAAATTAACCCAACTAGCTGGAAGCAGACCTGTTCCTCAATCCGGCAGCCATATCGCTAGGCAAAGTGGTCCAGGTAGGCAATCCACTTACCGTCCCGGACCACCACATGCAGACCCCAGGCAATGGCCAGAAATAGTGGGCAAAGCTGACGCCTCGACTGCCTCGCTAAATGAGAACCCTCCAAGGTCCCATTAGAGCATGGAGAGGTTTGTATCTAGCAAGCTTCGAGAAGTGTTTCCCTCTCAACATTTTTGCCCCTTTCTTCCGAGGCACAGTCTGGCAATCAACTCTGGTAGTGGAAGGTCCGGCTCGTACTAACATTCATGTACCGGCTCCTTCGCCTGCGAACCAAGCCGTAAGTGCCGTGTCCATATGAGGAGGGATATGCCGATGGTGGTGATCCTAATCATCCTCCCCTGCATTCCCCGCCCCTTGACCATGCCAAACAGCTAGTCCCGACCCCCTGGCTTCTTTACGGCGCGCTTCGTGGTGGCCCACAAAATGATGACGGGATTCGTTCTTTTCGGCATCGCGTGTTCCAAGTCGCATGTCTGTCCCTGAGGAGATTAGCTTCTGACGTGATACAAATGTACTCTCGTCTCGACGTGTTTCTCAGGACCGAAAACGCCAAACGCGTGCGTATATGGAAAATGAGATATCGTCTGTACGACACTAACCGTAATGTATAAGCGGCCTGGAGGATCCGACGCGGAGCGCGAACCCACGAACCCTACTGAGCCCGGACAAGGCGGTCCTAGCCGTGAGGGGAGACTAATATGATCAACAAGCCGCTCTTGACGAGAATAGCATTGGAAGGCTGAAGCCGGAGTCAAAGACCAGTGGCCTATGTCGATGGTCGGTACATACCTACTTACACTACGTGTAAGGTACCCTATATACACATTTTGCATTGCTCGAGATCCCTCTCGAACAATTCTACAACCAATGGTGGACTTTCAATGTTCATGAGAGTTCAATCTACCCGTGAGAAGGTTTCCTTCTATTTTGCAATCAATATGAATAGTGTAATGTTCAGAATCATGTAGTGTTCAAACCATAGAATCACATTAAATGTTCAATTGCCCACGACATTCACTCGACAATGATGATCAGTTGATCAAAAAAAAGCACTGTTAATATAGAACCCAACGAGTCTTAGGCGCGCGTATAGGAAAAAGCAAATAAATTCGAGTCACTTTTCTCACAGCTTTCTTCTCAAACCGCACATGTTACGCAATTAGGTCTAGTCGTTGATGTTCCTCCACGCGAACATATGCCCTTGTTGGGCGATTCCACGGAGGATTAATAATTTATTTAAATTACCTATACAGCTCGGTACGTAAAAATGCGTTCTACTACCGGATGGTACATGAGGTACTTTCGTAAATTTCTGCCTCCGCCTGGGTGAAAGTCGATGACCAAATCACGTGAGCTAACACCACGCCTGGAATGGCATAATTTGTACCCTGGTTGTCTTTGGCTCTCCATTTTGTGCTAGATCTTTATGAACCTTGAGGATAAGCAGCCCCAAACATACCCCGGCAATACATCACACGAGCCATCCTTCAAGCTCCCATCTAACAAGTTCCCGTCTAAGGCTGACTGGGCATCCCCTGCGCGAGAGACATTTTAATTTAAATGATATGGTCGGTCTGTTCGGAAAAATTGAAAATGCCGTGAGACTAACCAGCTTCTGAAGGAGGTTCATCCTTTTGACCAAGAAGGTTTTGATGGCGCCACTTTAGAGGAAGAGCCAGGCGCGATTTTGGGTGTCGGCCAAGTGATACATTGGAAGGACTGTGATCGTGCATACCGGAGGAAGCAGACTGGGGGGGTTTGGTTTGGCATGCCGAAGGATGGGGGCTGGGTCAAGGTCACGACAGGCTATTCCGTTTACTTTGAAAGGGGAGCACACGGACTGGTCAAAAGGGGTTCCTGACAGACCGCTGTACCGTGCCGCACGCGGTATCTGACGGGGGTTCTACAGGTCTTTCCTAGGAACGGAGAGTTCTGGATTTCGCTGCCTGTTCCCCTTCCTCTGTGGCAAAATTCGTGCCCTCGGGCCTCGCGCACGCCTTTGTCCTAAGTCCGCGCCGATCATGACTGAACACACAGCATAAGCCAAAAGGATTGGCAATTTCCAGTGATGGCTAGGTATGTACACGAACTGTTGAGTTGAAGACACGGTTCAGGGTTCCATGAGCCTCCTCGTCTAACTGGGGAGATGTTGTCGCAAAAAAAAAAAAAAAAAAAGAAAAAAATACAAAGAGATCTCACCACTTTAGTTGGCACACTCGTTTTGTAACATCCAATTTCCTCCAATTCCCGCTGCCAGGCAAGGAGATTCTTGCGGCACGGTTCAGTACTGGAAATGATCATGACATGACGCCTGGGTTGGACTTGTTGGATTGTCGACTATTTCGATATCCCAACACTCGTGCAGATAACATGATTTTCAATAATGAGCCTGTTTGCAATTAGCATCAGATTGAGTCGCGCTGTCTTTGGTCGAAATGCCAAGGCTTTTCGATATTTTATATGTACAAGAGTTGCGGCAGACTAAATCTGACTAGGGCCGAAAGATTCAACTATTTAGGGACTTGGAACGTAAAGGATCCGGCACCTAGCAATGCTACGCAGGATTCAGGAACCTAGCTATTGTGGAGCGTTCTCATTGATCGCCTCGAGCTCTTTGTGCGACTATTGTCAGTTTCCATCATATAGATTCTCTCGGAAAACTAGATATCCCTACAGTATCCTGGAAGCAGACAAATCTTTTGAACAACTCGAATAACATTAATGAATGAAGTTAGCGGCTGAGAGCTCACCACATCATAGTGAACCCTCCCCCTTTCCACTGAGGCAGGGATAGAAGGCCCAGGGCTTCGTAGGTCATGCCGTTGAACAGTAAATAAAAGGGGCCGTTTTTTGCGTGCTAGGCAGAAAACATAAGCTTTTTCCTTCATTCAATTGAGACCTTGACTTCTAACTGGCGAGTAAATTGACTGACTACTCACATTGCCTCTGTTCATTGGAGCCAGCTATGGCCTCAAGAGGCGCTGTGACGAGCGTTTCAATTGCTTCCTTCGTGAAAACTCCCTCTCTTCTCAATTCGTTCAATCGCTCGAGTTGAGGAGGGTGTACGATGAATCACGATGCGGGTGATGAAGCTGTCAACTAACGCGATAACTGCTGTGTGCCACATGCCTTTGTTGTTGTGGTTGTGGGTGCTGTGTGTGTGTGTACAGCTTCCTCTCTCTCCCGGCTTCGCCACATCGGGGAAGCACCCGGGCATTCCCCCAATACCACGTTGCGGCGATTAGGCTCGGTTTGGCACCGTGACATATGCGGTCCGGTTCAAAAGAAGACTGGATTACTTTGAGACATAAGAAGAGTAATTACTTGCTTGGCCGAGCAAGGAAGTCGTTTGAATTGCTTGTACACGGATAGGGAGCTAAGAACGACGAATGAAGAATGGCTTAACTTGCGACGGAAGTGTTCTTCGACATTGACAAGCATAAGACCTCGATGGTCACCTGATGAAATATCAAGGCATGGCCCCTTACAATAGGGGTACCATGTCCACCCATCGCTTTGTAGCTTGATATCCTATACCGCGATTGACTTGTGTACACTACATCAACAAGGCCAGTCTTACACAGACAGCTAAAGCATACACAAAAAAGAGGCTATCACCAGCAGCAGTTAGCCAACAGGTTCAATTGAAAAGCCATAACACCTATACACAAAGAGGCTGTCGCAAGCGGTAGTTAATTAATAGGTACAATTAGACAGCCGTATCACTCATACACAGATAGGCTATCGACAGCAGCAGCCAATTCATCAGGTCGATTGGACAGCTGTATCTCCCACATACGAAGAGGCTGTCTTGCGCACCAGCTGGTTAGTAGGTCAAATTAGACAGCTAGATCATATACCCGCGAAGAGGCTGCCCTAAGCTACAGCTAATTTACAAGGCCAGTTAAACAGCCGGATCATGCGCACACGAATAGGCTGTCCAAAACAGCAGTCAATTCATCAGGTCATTTAGATAGCTAGATCGCGTACACTCAAAGAAGCTATCACCAGCAGCAGCTAATTAGCAGGCCAGGCTGAACAGCTAGGTCAGAGGTCAAGCAAGAAGCTGTCCTCAGCAGCTAATTAAGGCAGCCTGATAGATTAAAATTTACGGGCCTTGTGCGGTATCAGTCTTACGCCTCAAGTTGAGCCACAAGTGGTAGATAGTAATTAAGACAATTGTTGTGGATGGATATGTTACCCCTTACAATATGATGGCGCCATAGCTAACGATAAGTGATCATCGTTCATTTTGAGGCGATAGCATATATAGTTTTTGCGTATGGTCACCATCTTTCATCAACATGAATGCCTCCGCGCTACTCACAAGACTTCACCCTATCTGATTAGGTCGTTCAGGTGTTGAGTACTGCTCAGATCTGTAGCACGAGAGCCAATGTTTGATGGCCCTGGTTGATATAAGGTGAGGGAAATCTTATAGCTCCCCTAAAGTGGAGGCAGTGCATGGTCCTCACGGCTCCCTCACCTAAAGTTAGCCCCCTAGTCAAAATATCTTGACCCGTTTCCAAGAACTACCGTTTTTTACGGGCTTACGGATACCCTGTCGAGGAGATGATTTCGGCCGGGGGCTGAGTGCAGGGGTGGCTGTATTTCAGTTTCCCCTTGCTAGCCAGACTTCCCCCCTGTGAGTTGAGCCACAGCCACCGTTCGGCTCGGGCCATGACACCTATTTTGACTGAGTGGCTGGAATGTCCCTACTTAACATATATACATGAATTGATTTTAGTCCATTGAGGTCAGTGATGAGCGCATTGATAATGTCCGTCTCGGTGACACCAGCTGGCTTCTCTATCAAGATGTTGGTTCAGACGTGGATGTGACAGTGCAACAGATGCCCATGTCGGCATGCAAAAGGTTTTTCGCAAACTTGGACATGGGCAGTGTAGAGTCACAGGAAGGGTTTCGGCATTCTTTGAAAATGAATGCCGCAATTGAATGAGAAATTGTCGCCAGGAATTTTGGAGACCAAGCGCAAGGATGGGCGAAAGTTGGGCTGGAAGTGAAGCCCATTTGCACGTGAGTTGTACCTTGAATGGCCTCGATCCGACAGCGCGCCATTTCTCAATTCCCACTCGCCATTCATTAGCCTCGCCAATAATTCGTTGTCCATAAAACCGTGTAAATGCGTCAATGAAGTCAACGAGCAGGCTGAACGGCTGATGAGATGGAAAGTGTGATTCTGGAATGCGTCAGGAGGAGAGGGTCGATGGATTGGTGGAAGTGCACACCGCTCTACGAGTTTCTTTGACTAATTGCTAAAAAATGATAAAAAAAAATTGCTAACCATCCAACCAAACACTTCTTATTAAACATGCTTTGCCAAAAAGCTGAAGATGAGCTGGGAGGTGTTCGCACTTGAGTCTAGGACAAATAGCCTACCCTATACTAACGTAGTCGCGATCTGCGTCAAACATCTCCCAAAGAACTTCTTCCGCCTTTCAACAACCAAGCTTCTTATCTTCATAGATCAATGTAGACAGGCAATAGAAGCATGCACTGGTTTGGAATAGGGTGCCCGGAGGTATGTCTAGACGCGAAGGATATCGTGTTGTCGCCCTATGTATATTGAGTTTTGAGAATGGGTACCGGTTTGATCAAGTACATGGTGGCGTAAAAAATGATAAAGGCCAATACCGATCTTGTTCTCTGATAGCGACATTGGCCTTTGTCGCATTTAGAAGCTAGCTTCAAGCGTCTTCTCTCTTTTCACAAAATTAATTGCAATCACAGACAAAGAGGATTCCAAAGAGCCTGCCTAGGGCTGAGTGGGTAGGCAAGCAGGGTGCCGTGTGGGTTCGTCTCAAGAGGCGCTTACAGCCAATGCCCAGAAATTAATTCGTGCATAACCGCGACAAGCTTCTTCTGCATCTCGACCCACGAACAATCCTGCGCGCCTTGATTGTCCATTAAAGAACAATGGCCAGGAGTCAAAAATAGAGTTAACGAGGGAGGGAGGGTGCTGGTGAGTGCCGTTTGGGCTGCCGAAGCGCGACGCCTGCAGCAATGGGGCAGTTCAAGGACTCGGCCAGTAGGAAACCAGCCCCAAGCGCGGAGCGATCAGCCAAGACACAGCGGTCCAGGTCGCTGCTCAGCGCCCATTGGCCCCCGCCCTACAGGGGCCGTAGGGCAGATCCTGGCAGCGCAGCACCCGCGCTTAGCACCGTTGCAGCCTCGATGCAACAGGAAGCGATGTGCTGCCTCGTCATTGTCTGTTGGTGATAGACGTGCAGTGGCCTGAAACCGCTGGATGCACTGCTGCATGTCTGCGGTCTTGGCTTTGGATTTTATTGGTGAATCACAGCTGGATCCCGTCAATCTCAATGCACCTGTGTCAACCAACAACCAACAGCCAACAAACAACTCCATGCTTTAGGGAACTGCCTTCAATGCCTGTTGCCTGAGCCCACCCACATCCAATTATAAGGGACCTCTTTCCCCCGAAGGTTTCTTTCCCTCCTCAATTCAGATCACCTGCAAAAATTCCTCCCTTTCATACTTCTCTTAATTCTGAGCAAATACCACCATCTCCCATCAGCCATCCCTCAGCCGAAATCATGCGTCTCACACACATCCTTCTCCTGGCGCTCCCCGTCATTGCTTCCACGCTGGAAGACTTCGAGTGGGACGATGAAGAAGAAGAGACCGTCACTCTCACATTTACCTCCACGAGTACGAAATACGTCTTTGTTCACCGCACGGATATAATCAACATACACATGACCGCCTCCTTCACCACCAGCATCGTCCCCAGCCAAACCGCAGCCGCCAGCGGTAGCAGTGCCACTTCAGCTTCCCCATCCAGTGCTCGACCCTCCCTCCCCAAAGAGACTGTTCAAGACATCTATGTCGACGTCGACTCAGATCAGATCGTTCTCGGCCGCCCTTCGAAGCAATACTCGCCGCCTCGAGCCCACCCTGATGTGAGGCAACCCTCACCTGTCGCCTCTCTTCGATTGAATATTTCGGTAGAGACTTGTTGTCAGCTGGTCCTGGCTGCTCCTCTCCCAACCTGAGGTGGGGGGTCTCACCTCCCCTCTCAAGCATTGCGTCATCTTGCTCGGTTTGAGCACCGGTGCTCTGAGCTGGTAGTTACATCACCATTCTTTCGGTTACCATCATTCTTGGCCTGGGCGGCACCCCGGATACGTCCTGATGATCCGAGCGAGTTATATTCCGCTGCTCGCCTGCCTCATTTGAAGCCACTCCCCTTCTTAATTATCTCTGTATATAGTTCAGCCTTGGAAAAAGGCACTGGGGCATCCACTGGCCGCACACACACTATTTAGACCTCCCTGGCTATTGGCAGCCATTTGAAACTTGAGTCATTCCACTAGATTAAAGAAACTCACAAAGAAGGATCAATAGAAAGCTAATATATTACGCAATGCAATATATTCACGAATTCTCCCATCGGATTCTGTCGCAATCACTGAGTGTCGAGAAAGTGTGTTTTGAATGTTGGTAGTTGTAACTACGGAACTCCCCCTGCTTCCATTCGTGAGAGAAGCCAGAAATGTATGGCCGACCACTTATTTCCACTATTATATTATCATTCTAATCAGACACAAGGAGCTTCAAGTTTCAAACCCATAATTCCAGAGCTCTTTCCGAGGCCCTCCCTTCTCCGAGCTGCCGCGAACCCCGACATGCTGGAACACGCTCGGCTCCATCGCCCACCTCCTGAGGTTCATCTCGTCGGCGACAATCTCGATAAAAGAGTCGCCAGCGGCATGGTGTGGCGGCGCCCTCAATTTACCCTCCAGCATATCCAGCTGATGTGCTGGAAAAGCCAGGCCCTGCGCGCAGCAGCCGTAGTTGTTCATCTCTCGGATTCCCTCGGACCTTGGTATGACTGTCACGCGACCTGCCATGAAGAACAGCGCCGTGAAGGCTATGAACCAAAGGTGGAATCGCACGATGGAAGCAGCGTGGTATGGTGATTGCTTCTTGGTGTGTCGGCCCCAGAGGGCCCGGCCGAGGATGATGATGCCAACGACCATGGCGTAGAAGAGGAAGACCCGGGGGAGGTATATGTGCCACTCCTCTGCGTTCCACCCAAGGTAGAGCTCAGTGTAGAATAGTCGAAGGTAGAGCCAATCATCGGGGGTGGGTGAAGCCTCCAGTAGGTGAAGCGCGTTGTTCAACTTCGGAAACCAATCTCGAGAGGCGATGATGTCGTCTTCTACTAGCAGGAAGTAGTCTGTCCCTTGCTTCCGGCATGTCTCCATCAACGTGGCATAATCCATCTGCACATGTTCATTTCGCTCGGCGCTCTCGCGAGGCTTGCTCTCGTTGATGTATCTATAGGTATCGGGGCTGAGGTATTTCGGAACGGGCGAGTAGAGGAGGACTTCGTCGGCCATGTTCGAGAGCCATGACTGGCCAAAGGCGGGGTTTGCTTTGGGGTTCTCTTCGGTGATGAGGATGATGATATGGAGTGACTTTCGTTCGTCTGGGGATAGGGTGTCGACAAGGGAGGCGATGGTTCGTGGCAGGAACTGTTCTTTCTCTCGTCCTTTCGTGGGTATTCCTACACAGATCCGCGTGGAACTGTGGTTGTCTAGGTAGACATAGTTCGGGTGTGTCTCGTGTTGGAGGTCAGGCTGTTGGGACGTTGCTGATGTCGTTAGTGCCTTCTGAATGAATTCATCAGTCTCAGACTCCCTGATGGCCGAGTACAGTGGCTTAGAAGCCTTCTCGTAGTCGAAGAAGAAGGAGCCGGGATCTCTCCAGGAGTAAAGAGCGGCGAGTTGGAATAGTATGAGCCATAAAGCCGCAAGGGCAACATCCACCAACGGTGGTCTGACACCTGACAGTCTTTTGAGCGTGGAAAGGAGTGCCATTTTTAAGAACATTGGGAAAGGACCAAGTGTCTTTCCGCGTGCGAGGAGACAATTGCTTTACATGCTAATCGCCGCGCTCCCTTCCAGATTTGAACATAACTGAAGTACCTGGGGCCATTGTGTTGATGATTCTATTTTGGTATCAGGGCTGACGATCACTGGATTACAATTTGGTTTGCAATATATCCGGTCTCATTTCTCGCAACATAAGACCCATTAGCAATGGGACATGGGGAACGGTACCCGCTTGGGACTTTTGGTTCCGATATAGAGGTTAATTCTGGGCATATTTCTAGATCTGATGATTACTTATTCACAGCAGAATTTGCTAGAAAGGGGACATCGATCTAATAGCTTAGTATGGAAGGCTGGCGAGGAAGCGATGGTGGTAGTCTGCTCAAGAGGTAAGCGGCGTATAGGTAGATCATGGCAGTGCATGTTTCGGATGTTATAATCGAGTGAACACGAGCCCTCAAGTCAAGTCATTAGTTCCAAAGGTGAATTCCCTCACTTGTGTTGCCATGGACTTCCACGAGCTGGCTCACGCGCCCATCAACGGGGCTCCTGCACCCACACGAGGACCATAACCCATCAAAAACGTGTCAAGGCCGAAGGCCCCCACCACGGCGCACTGTCTTTGCCCAATTAACAACTTAGAATGTTCCGATATCCGAGCAGATTTCTTGGCTGGGATCTTTTGCGGAAAGTAGTCGGCGATCACGGGAGGCAGGGCATGCATGTATCCCACCGGCAAAGGCTGATATCCCCATAGTGTTTCAGCATCCTTCGTCATGGCATGCGCATTGAAAGGACCGCTGCGGAAGCTAAACTACGTGTTGAAGCTAAATAAGTTGCCTCTATTCTACAAAACGGATAAAACAGTGCAGCAGAGGCTGTAGAAACCGGATTACCAAGGGAAGAGGAAGCGGAAAGATAGCCGGTCGAGGAGAACCTGTGAGCGTCTAGCACAGTTGGGTAGAACCTTGAATGTTTACAGCTAGGGAAATTGGGTTAACTAATTTAAATCATTGACATACTCCATGGTCAATCACTCTCTGAGACTTGATGCAGCCGCTGTAACGGGCAAACGCCGAAGCCCATTGTGTAGGCATTCCGCTTTCATCCGATGGAATATCTTGGGTGATTCGCATACCGAAGATGAAAATAAATCTCAAGCACTTTTGGATATGAATTCAGTGTCGATTCATCTCCTCTCGGCCTTGCTGCTCTTACGTAGTCAATCCTACTAGATTGGGGCTGTGCTGTGTTTCTAGTTCCGAGGCAGGAAATCAGCCGTTCTCGAATGAATCCTCCTGATGCGTCGTTGTCGTCTCAGCAATTACATAACGTCCAGTTGTGGGGGGATCTTCAGTCCAAGCTAATTGAAACTCTTACCAAGCCATCACCAACACTGGCATGCCCAATAGCTCTAAATGGGTACGTCACGAAGTCTGACTTTGGGGAGCTCACTCACGAGAATAAAATGGAGCCATTGTGGCAGTGGCAGGCCAACATGCTTAAAGATGGAATCGCGATGGAGAAGGCTATTTGGCTTGATTGGGCTGCCTGCAGGGTTCGCCATCCTCTTCATCCCTGTAGCAAGCCCGAAACCCTGGACAGACAGATCATCCTATACGCCGGGGCTGTGCAACGGGGTTGAGACCGCCTTTGGTACAGTACTTGATTACCTAGATTTCCGTACTGACACATATGCAGGAATAAAGAATAAAGTTGACCTGGTTGTTTCACTCCGATGTTAACATGTGAACACTCGTGTGGTCCCAACTCTACACAGAGAATTTAAGCGCTCTTTGTATGTCTCTGATACTGAATTGCAGACCTCACAAGCCTGTCAAATGGCTCAAGATATGATTTCATGTCTGGGCCAGACTGCCAAAGTCGACCAACAATCGCGCCTGTGGTCGCCGTACTGCCATAAGTACACTGCATTGGCAGCCAGCAAACTGGGCCAGGTTTATTCGACAAGAAAGACGGTCTTCGAGGTTTGCAACGACCTTTCGTGTCTACGTTAATCCAGACAAATTTATATCAAAACTAAGTCTTCTGTTTGTGTCTTTTCGGAGATCTTGCTAACGGTTTATTTCACTGCAGTCTGGAATAAACAATCGCCTGAGCCATAATTCCTAATTCGAACCCTCCCAGGCGAGACCGAGACACATTGAAACCTTCTTGAAGAGATGAGCATCTATGCTCTGGACGCTCACCACCTACCTTGCTCAGTGGCCCTTTAACACCACGTCCCTCGAGTTTATATCAACCGGCCTGAGGTATCCCGCATTTATCTGTGCCGTCACCTTCCACAGCGGTAGGCACCTCTCAATGTTTGATTGTGAGGGCGCGATGCCGACAACGCTTTCGACCTTGGCAATTAGCGGGCGGATCGTTTGATGGTTGAGTAAATATTGCGAGCCCGAGCCTCTATATGTGAGGAAAGTACTACGAGGAGAGGCGTCCATTAAATGGCCCTTGCTGCAGATCGGTCACATATCCCTGGTCGCCTGGCAGTCTTGACCCTTCGGAACAGTCAACGAGCTTCTCCTATTCCTTGACCTGCTGACCTTGCTTCTGAAGCATCGTAGGAAAATTGAGGCTTTTGGAAGTCTCTAAAAAACCGGGATGATAGTCCGGGGATGGTCAACTGAGGAGGCTGTCCAGTCGCCTGCCGGGTTCGAGGCAGCAAGCTGGGGCATGAACTCGCGTGGTAAGGCTGGAAGGGCCGCAACGTTCCTCGGATGGACTCCTAGTAGAGGAGTAAGCTTGAAGGATGAGATCCCTGAAATTGTCAAATCAGAAGTCGCTAGAGCGGAACTGTAGGCTCTACCTACCATGGGTATTAACGATCGGATGTTGTCTCTCAAATAGCTCTGTAGTTGCAACTATGCTAATAGAGTAATAAGAGTGGGAACCTTCCGCAACTTGCTCGCTTGTGTCCAGATGTAGGTACCGTCATGAGCGATAACTCTTTATAATATGGGTAAGGTTTTACTTTGAGTAAGGACTTTCGCTGTAGTTAGTCTTATCTTGAAATAAGTCTAATGCTGTATTGGCAAGACATGGCTTGAGTAATAAGCGCACTTTCAGAGTTAGTTAACGACGCGAGTTTACAGGCTTAGATATTGTTAATCTACTAAGCTCTACTAAGCTAAGTCCGAATTCCTAATACAACTATCCAAGTATACCTATCCACTCATCTTATAACAACCAGAGCGATAGAGCCAGCTATCGCCAGAATAAATATCTGCAAATAATTGACCGACCCAGAAGCGACCACTATGCCTTTTGTTGCTGGAGGATATTTATTTTTCGGTTCTTGGTTCTCACTAGGAAATTCACTAGGAAATTCACTTGGAAATTCACCAGGAAACTCACTAGGTAACTCACTAGGTAACTCACTAGGTAACTCACTAGGCAACTCACTAGGTAACTCACTAGGTAACTTACTAGGAAGTTCACTAGTTAATTCACTCGGTACCTTTGTTATAACGGGAGCTGGGCCGTGTGGGAGAACTTCTGCATATCCTGTAGGGTTCGGCATGTTGATCTCGCCCACGGCCCCTTTGGTCTCTTGGGCCATACCCTCGCGGGTCGTAACGGCAGGATATGTGGTTTGATCATTCGTCTAATACCTGGTTAGTCTTTTTGAAATTACCAAATCTGGTAGAGAACTGAAGAAAGCACTCACTGTTAAGGTATAGTAGTATACCGGACTAGGCTCCAGCACTATCAACTTATTTCCTGTAGTTAAAGTTGTAAAGCTTTTGCTCTCTTGTAAACAAGTTTGTGACTGCGCCGCGGGAGCGCTCGTAGAATAGGATAGATGTCTTTCACAGGAATGACAGTCGATTGCATAGAGTGCTCCATCAGTGGTAAGTCCTCCGTATTTGGCCGTGCAGGCGATGGGAGCCACATCGACACCGGTAGCAAGTAGCTTAGCTTCACTACCGCTGCCTGTTATCCCTGCATCCTTCACTCTTCCTGCACTGTCCACGCCAGTAAATGCTCCAAGCCCTGAAGAGTGAACAACTGAATCACCCAACATAAGTCCTTGAGCTATGTGAGCTTCGGACTTGACAGTATCAAGCAGAGCTTCGGGGGTTGGTGGTGGAGCTGATGGGGGCGTGACAAGATTAGGATTCGGACCGCTCCTGCTGAAAGAAGCTTCGAGGGTTTGTGATGGAGGCAAGACAAGATTACTATTCACACCGCTCGTGATGATAAAATCTCCCGGACTGTCATTCGAATCCAATTTTGAGGGCCTTGGGGGCGGCGTTGCTTCTGGTGGGACATCAGGCCCAAACTCAGGCTTGGGATTGATCTTCTCCCCTGGATCAACCTTAAAGTCGCCTTCTTTCTTAGGGTCAATCTTCTCAAGGGACACTCCGTTTTCGGACCCGACTTCCTTCTCGAGTTCAGCCACAGGATTGACTTGGGCAATGCCAGTCTGATCCTTGAGAGTTGTTCCATTTTCAGGCTTGACTTCCACTGACTCAGCCAAAGAGTCAACTTCAGCAATACCAGTCCCCTCCCCAAGAGTTGCTTCATTTTCGGGCTTAACTCCCTCTAATTCAACCAAAGAGTCGACTTCAGTAACGCCAGTCCCCTCCCCAAGAGTTGCTTCATTTTCGGGCTTAAATTCCTCTTCCAGTTCAGCCACAGGTATGGCTTGGGCAATTCCAGTCTGATCCTTGAGAGTTGTTCCATTTTCAGGCTTAACTTCCACTGACTCAGCCAGAGAGTCAACTTCAGCAATACCAGTCTCCTCTCCAAGAGTTGCTCCATTCTCGGGCTTAACTCCCTCTAATTCAACCAAAGAGTCGACTTCAGTAACGCCAGTTTGCTCCCCAAGAGTCATCCCATTTTCAGGCTTAACTCCCTCTTCTAGTTCAGCCTCAGGTATGACTTCGGCAATGCCAGTCCCATCCGTAACAGTCGCTCCATTTTCAGGCCCGACTTGCTCCTTTGGCTCCGGCTCCGGCTGCGGACGACATGCATCGCCGACACCATTTCCAATCGAGTTTTCCTGCCCGGGATTGCTTACAAAGGGACAGTTGTCCACATCATCGCAAATTCCGTCACCGTCGGTATCACCACCCCGCGATTCGCAACCAAGGTTGACTGTTCCCGATGCACAGGCCTGAGTGCATGCGATGATACGGACAAATGCAGCGCTGTCGAGAGCATCGTCGCCAGCATCGCAGACGCCTATTTCGATCGTGTGCGTACCGGCTGGGTCGGCCTTCTGATTGGACTTCAAGACTGGAGTAGAGCCCTTGAGGGCATTGCCCGAGGCGGCTGGTAGGAGAACGTTGGAGCCTCGGAAAAAGGGCCCGTTCAGAGTAATTGGATCCCCGGTAGCGTCCTCGGCAATCTGTTCTCCATCCACCAAGATATACATGACGTCGTTGAAGCTGGACCCGACATACTCGGGGTACTCTTGTGTTGCAAATTGGTAATAAGCCGAGAAGCCAGTCAGGCCGGCATCGAGTTTGACCACGGCACTCAAAACGGCCGGATCCCGGGCGGTGGTCCCTGCAAGACTAGTGCATCGCTCATTTCCTGATAAACCAAAGCGAGTATTGCCCTTGGCTATCAAGGTTTGGGGAGACCTAGCATCTCCAGAAGAGAGGATAATGCCGCTGCTGAGATCTGAGGAAGGGCCGTTGGTAAACGTGCCAGCCGCCAAGGAGTTGCCCTTATAGACTGCTGACTGGACGGTAATGCCCGGACCAAACAACGCCTTGGCTAAGGCTACTGGATTGGCTTGAGAGGAGATGGATACGGCATCTGCCCATCCTGCCGCGAGGATAAGAAGCGAACCCACGCGCATGAACAACATTGTGGACGGCCCTTCCTCTCTCAAGTCACAGAAGGCGTTAGGCAGGTAATTTCAGGCAAAATGAGTGAAAAAGTCCAAAGAATGGATCAAGCAAGGTAGGGTAAGCGACCCGAATCGTGTTGCGTGATCTCCAAGTTGGAAGATAATGTTTCCCTAGTGCGAGCATTTATAGTATACGACGGTGTTACCGATTATGGTGAATCCATTTACATCTCTTATGCATTATCCCATCAGCGCGTTCTTCTATATCATAGAATAACTTACCTCAAAAGGTTGGTGCACCGACGGCCGGCAACGCTCATACCGACGCGAATTCGAGGATCATGCGCCGATACACGCCTCAGATTCAAGCTCTAGATCATAAAATTGACATTCCTAGTTGCTGCGAGACATGCTGCTTAGGAACTGCAGGTGGCACTTCCCTTTAACTCACATGCCGATTGACTGTCTGACAAAACTCGGGTACGCCACTTCGATCACTTCGTTGCCGCCTCTAATGACCGACGTCCAGGTACAGGGTGCTACCGCGCTCCCCCCCCTTTCCCGACATTTATCGGAGGGTGTCGAACGTTGGTCTTCGTCGGGAGGAATTGCTTACTCTATATGACACATCATGGCAAGTGTCATTTCGGCAGCCTCGCCACGTCAGGCAAAGCCCGATTGAAGAAGCTGCTGCGCCCAATTCTAACAGGCGCCTTCCATGTATGGTCTCCTTGGAACTTGAGTCAATCAAATCGTACTTTCTCCGTGCAAACTAATAACCTTGTGACTGCCCAGAATAACGTTACAAACTGTGGTCTTGTTCTTAGAGTAATCCGTTGTTGTCTCATATGATACAGGCACACAACCAAGGCCTAAGTATCCAAGCAACACGATCACTTGGCAGGTCTACAGCAGACGCCATGGAGACATTGAGTAAGTTGTGCCTATCTCCTAGCCCAAACGCCAAGTTGCGAGGTAACGGGGTCGACCTGTCAATAGTAAGATGCTGCCATCGAGGAGGGGGAGAGGAACGTGATGCGGTCGATTCGATCCGCAGTGTCTCAACAGCCCAAGGCAAGGAATTTAACCATCTCTGGGACCCTTAGGAACTCCCAAGAGCGAAGCGTCCAGCCCAGCCTGTGCTTGTTCGATTGCTTATGGCTCGCCCAAAGCCGCGGGGTATGCTTGCACGATATTGCCAACAACTTAACATCGCAATCGAGTACTCTAAAATAGCGATTTGCGACTACGACGATGACGAGACAGCATCCGCCGTGTTGAAGATTGCCCATGGGGAGGTGACTGAATAGGCAACTAGATGTGCTAAAGGCGATCACTAAGATCATATATAGCATTTTTCAACTATAGCTATGAGGGAAAAGAGTGGCGTGCAACTAATGTGCAAAGTAAAAAGGCAAATAGATATGAGGCTTTAGCTATTTTTGAGAGTCATTTCCCATCAGAATCAGTCCAGGCATAAATGCAAGCTTCATGAAAAAGACCCAGCCATGACTCTTCTAAAGTCTTATGTACAACATCCACTAACCTCCTTGTTTCCTAAGAGACGACCTTATTGTCCATAAGTGTAGAGACTGTCAGATTCTAGTATAACCTCAGTTAGCCGACTCATTGCATTGGTAGAGAAGTAAACAGGATGAGTGCGTGAAGGCGTGTGTTACGAACCTAGCCCTGAACGCCGACGGATTGGAGCTTAAGCCAGCTATGTTTGTCGTCAAAGGAGAGGTACAAGGAGACGGCAATGCCCTTGTTGCTGTAGACAGCCGAGGACGAGGCAATGTCTAAGTTGAAGCTGCTGGTCTGCTGGAGGTCCGAGACGCTAAACTTAAGGCTGTTGGCAAAGTGAAGCTTCACGCCATCGACGCTGGCAGACTGGGAAGAGAAGTCGACTTGGATGGCCTTGAGGGAAGAGTTGTCCGGGTTCGGGTTGGGGATGGTGTAGTGGACCCAGCCCTTGAGGTCGCTGTCACTGGTGTCACTGGTGGGGGAGATCTTGGCCGAGCCGCCATCCGAGGTGATGCTGAAGCTGTTGTCGGTATCCTTGATGGCGCCAATGCCGTGGGTGGTGAACCAAATGGGAGGCATGTTGGGTTTAGATGGGGAGCTTGGCAGAGCAGAAGAGGGCGAGACCTGTTGTTGAGGGGGGTTGTTCGGCGACGAGAATGTGACCGAGAAAGACAATAAGAAGCTTCTTGAGAAGCCTGATGTGGCGAGTGTTACTGAAAAGTTGCTTGAGAATGTAGTAGACAGTGTTGCTGATGAGTGGTGACGAGATCGAGGGATTTGGGGGCGAAGGCATGTCTATATATACTTTTTCTTCAGATGGGCATCTTTGTGGACGGATAGTGTTAGTCAGCGTTGGACGGACACTTCATGAGAAAAGCCAGTATCAATCCAGAATCAATGACTGTCTTCCCCCTCATCACGACATTGATGTAAGTCCTGATGTCGTCAACGGTCGGCGAGACCCAAGCTGAGCAGACCTTACTGTAACCAATACCAGCTCATCAACGTCATCTAGAAAGCCCACATAGCTCAATTGGGAGTCATTTATTGAATTCATTCAAGCTGAGATTGGTCATGAGCTAGAAGCGACCACTAAGCGCGCACTATTATTCACACAGGGTTGCTATGAGAAGTTGCATTGCAGCGAGCCTTCTCGGTCGTTTCGTCGCGCCCGTCATCCTACCATCAAGATGTGTGGAGACAGCACCTTGATTTTTACGTGGCTTGCAGACGAGAGCTGTCATGGTCTCGACTGGATGTCTGCTCTCCCCCTCCTCTTCTGAGTTGTGTAGAAGCGGGCGGTGCGACCTCAACTTGACGAGGGTCTGGGTATCCTTAGAAGGGTATGTGCCCCGTTGGCAGAAATAATCTATCAAGATGTGTATACACGTAGCGGTTTGTTCCCGTTCGATATTTCCCTAAAGATTTATATCACCATATGTCGGGAGCACCTGTATAGTGTATACTGTGACTTTATTATCAAGAATCTTCCGATTTCTTAAGTGACTTCTCGCTGCCTAAGCTGAAAGACCCTCATATCCAGACTGGGCGAAGTTACTCAAAGGAGCGTAAAAGTGATTGATAGTTATAGCTGACTTCTAGGCAAACAGGCCGAGAGAGTCATGCCCTTTCTCTGATATTTCTATACTTTGCTGCACCATGTAATTGAACGTCCTAAAAAGGAAATGTCTGCAAGCACAGCTCAGCTGAAATGCAACTGTTGTATCCTTCTGCCCTCTTCTGTTTACACGTATTGATTACGTTAGTCTAGGCTACAACTCAGCTGAAGAGGAGCGGGTGACTTTATTGGCCCCTCTTGGCACAACGACCGTGCATAAGGCGGCCATCGGAAGCAGGGGGCCTATTCGATGGGGATGATTTAATACGAGGCGACGATGGCGAGCGCCGACGCCTATCAGCTTGCTATCAGTTACCTAACCGCGATCAGAAGAGAAATAGTGGTAGTCGGCCTGGGGCTAAGGTGGTGACAATCTGCAGTTTCTGATAGTTCCCGGCCTTGGGACGAGCGAGTGACTGCTCGTAAGACATAGGGAGCCACTGGGGTGACGTGCATCCCTATGTGTGCTACTGCAATCCTCCCTTCCTGAGTTTTCATCTATAAATGATCACACAAGATACAGCGCTTCTGACTTAATTAGACAATCTTGTGTGCGACAGTTTCATCCACATACACGGCCCCAAGAACCCCTCTCAAACAACCATCCTTTGTCATTCTCTCTCAGGCATCCACTTCTCTCCTCACAAGGAAACGAAGCAATGTCGGTCTGGATCTCTGCTCATGGCTCAGCGGGCCTTATCCTAGGAGAAGAGTCCTCCTCCTTCACCAAGACATCCCAGATCTCCAGTGGTGCCTTCCGCTCCACCGCGCACAATCAAACCCGTTGCTATGTCCTCTACCCCCTCCCTAGCCCTCCTCAACACACAACACACCTCAGTGCCGTCGCTGTCGACTTCATGGCCGACAGTGCCTACGTCGATTGCTTCGAGCTCATGTCCGGCAACCACTCCCTCCACAAGGAAGACAAGCTGGAGACAGGCCAGAGGTTTAACATCCCGCTGCCCAGCGGCGTGAAGCCCGCCGAAGGCAAGGGTCTCGCTCTCTGTCTTCAGCTCGTCTTCCGTAGCGTCAATGGCATGATCAGCGTCCAGTCCGCCGCGGCGGAGGCAGTCGTCAGGGCCCCCCGAGGCCCAAAGATTCTCAAGTCCGACAGTGGCACCTGGAAGACCGACGATGTGAGGCCGTGGAACCAACCGCAGACACATACACAGGCCCGGGTGGTGTTTGACACAGATTTCACCACGGTACCCTCGGTGACAGTGGGCATTACAGGGCTCGATGCCGGTAATCAGGCCAACGTGAGGGTAAAGGCGTACGCGTCTAACATTGATAAGTTGGGCTTTACTGTGCACGCGGACAGTTGGGGTGACACCACTCTGTATAGTTGTACCATCTCTTGGGTAGCACTTGGCGTTTAGAAGTGTCGCTGCTAGGAATAACCCTTCCATCAGGGTCTTTAGAACCAAGCTAAACGATGTGGTTGCCCGTCGCGTGGACCTCAATACCGTGGCCAGGCGAACCATTTGATGTCCCAACAACTTCGTAGTACTGTTTGTAGACGGAGAGGTTGGCTGTGCAACGCTGCCATTCGTCACGCATCGCGTAGGTCGCATTGGCAGAAAGCTAAGACGACATGCGCTTCAGCTCGAGAATGGTTCTCCGCTAGACCTATTCGATAGATCATAGACGCCTCTCGATATTCCAAATTGGCAATTGATGATACTCTCAGTCTTTAACCCATCCTCGTTAAGCATGGCTCCTCAATTTAGTACGCGACATTGGGCCGCAATTCAATGTAACATGCAAGCATCAGCTACCCACTATCATTCCATCCAAGCCTATTTGGGGGAGCCTTGGCTTGAATGTGACGGCAGCTGCGTCTAAATGCAACACAAAATTTGTCATTCGTATGCCAGACCACTTTATAATGACCCTATGAAGGTGTGCTTCGACGTCAGCTGCCATCCCGTCCGTCGTTCGAAACGCCCCGCAAATTTCCTGAGGGATAGTTTGCTGCGTGATGTGACGTTCGGACGTCGTGAAGATTCCTGTTGCTGTCTTCCGATTTCATCGAATTGGATAAGGAAAGGAGGGGTGAATCGTTAACAATCATCGAAATTGCTACGCAGTCAACTATGGATAAGAGAACTGGCCGCTTCAAGATACAACTAGACCTCTATCGCTGGATCAGAAATTGGTTGTTCCAAATAAGAACAGATCTAATACCCCAATCCTTGTGCCCCTTTCTCACGCCTACCTCCACTACGCGGGTTCACACCCAACCTTCACAGAAGACTGTACGGCATCAGGATTCCGGGAGTAATGTCATTCGCCTGGCCAATGTCTTGATCCCACGGTCAGGCAAATTGTTTTGATTGGCCTTCTTTGCAAGATCATCGCTCGCCATATAGCAAGTTCAGTGGAGTATATCCCCTGAGAGTGGCCTAAATGTCGCTCAATGTTACCTGAGCGTGGCCTGCTGAAAGCTGAGGGCAGGGATGCATTTCACTCCGGGCGGAAGAGCCGATTGGCCTTTATGAATGTTACCCTACTGACGTTAAAGGCGACGTCCAAAAGCTTCCTATGAAACGAGATGATGCGGACGTCAGCACTAAGTCTCTCACAAAGTATAAGGAGGCTCACTCTCTAGGAGTTTGGACTAATGGCTGTCACACAGCAGGATCCTCGAAAAAACTTATTAGCATCTATACCACCACCCGGTATCTACTCACACGTTCGTTGGCACAGTTCTGCGACTGCAAATTCAACGTAAGACCTACCAGCACCACGATGATCCCCTCAAATGAGAAAGAGTACTCAAGCTAATAGTTTTTAGCTTACTACGTCTTGGAGCCATGTCTTTCTCCATTGACCTCGACGATGGCGAGGAGCAGTACATTGAACAGATACAGTCTCTTCGTCGCCAACTAGCCCAGGGCGAATATATCGAGAGTGTCGGCACGCTAGCACCTCAGGTCCCAACAGGCGGTACCCTTAGCTTCTTCGATGTCAACTTATCAGGCAGTATTGGCGGCTCGCATTACCGTGTCACGTTGAGGTTTCGAAGTGACAACCTCTATTTGGTCGGTTGGCGCCGACCAGACACCAATGTCTGGTACGAGCTAGGCCATGAGGGTGGAGGCGCCGCCATCATCCGAGACAGAGGCGTAGAGACGCAGCTGTTGACGCTCATGGAGAACTACGTCGACCTGACACGAGTCGCAGGCTTGGAACTTGACGACGTTCCTCTCAGTGTTCAGCGCATCGGTGAAGCTCTGAGGACCCTCGCCACCACAGAGATAACTAGCAGGACCAACTTGGAGCCCGTCGCGCGAGCTGTCATCACCATGGCCTTTACCATTGCTGAGTCGTCAAGGCTCCGGTCCATCTCTGACCTCATCCACAGGGCTTGGTGGAGAGAGTCTGCCCCGGGACCGCACTACGCCAGCCAGGTGCGTAGCTGGGCTCGCCTCTCCAATGCTGTTCAGAGAACCCGCAATGAGGGCCACACTTGGGATTTTGAAGGGGATTCGACCAACATCTGGAGCTTCGTCGATGCGATTCGTGCCCTTGGCATCATGCATCTAGTCTCCACAGCAAGGCCACACCGCTCAGTACGTTCTGTCGCTGATGAGGACAACAACTCCCAGATGGCGACCTCGAACACAACTACGTGGGCCCAAGGACAGCCACTGCTTGAAATTTTTCATGTGCGCATCAACAACATCGACAGCGAGGACCCGGGCCAACTGTATGGCACCGTCCGCGTTGTTGACAGCATCGGCACGGCATCCATTTGGGCCAGGGCCCAGCATGACTACATTAGCATCAAGCCTGGCGATCTCGTCCTTCTCGAGGGCCCCGATCGAGCCTTGACCGCAGCGGACGAGCTCAGCATCCAACTTGATCTGTGGGACTATGACTCTTTGTCCCCCGACGATGCCATTGCCCAAGGAACCGTTCAATTCAACCCCTTCGACTACTACACGCAGTACGATAGTACTCAAAATCGCCAAGTGAACGGCGAGTATGGCTCAGTGGATGTGAGCTACGTAGCAATGAGCGACGCCCTCTACGCGCAGATTACAGTTGTCCTGATTAACGGGGATGACGAGGACCCAGCTAATGTGTATGGCGACATCTACACCAACAACGGATACGGACACAGCCAACTCTTCCAGAAGGGCCGGAAGGAGTACGTCAACGTTTCACCTCTAAGCCGGATCCCTCTTGTGAGGGGTATCGTGGCTGTGCCTACGGACGGCTCGTTAGTTATTACGGCGAATCTTTGGGACTACGACTCGCTCAGCCCTGATGATGAGATTGCTGCGGGCGAGGCAAATTTTGACCCGTTGTATAGGAAATCGGAGAACAAGCAAATCAATGGGGCTTATGGCAAAGTCGACGTTCAGGTAACCTGGTTGTAAATGGGGATACAGGTGGATGGCTTGGAATAATGAGTTTGTTGTTAAATGAAAAACAGTATGATAATAGGTATGAGAAGAATATGCATCGAACAAGTGGTTGTTATAGGAGAGTTTTAGTCGGCGACGCCAGCCTAGGGTAGATCTCTTACAGTAAATTTACTAAAGATGACCGAATAATGAATCCGTTTAACAAGTCGCGGCGCGGCTATGAGATTAGTGCTGACATAAGATTGCAGCCATCCATGATCAGGATGAACGAGTTTTTGGCTGGCTCCTCTCCTTGAATATCTGTTCTTAGCTAACAAACTCACCTCACTGTCCCTCTCCACTTACCTACTGGTATTTCTTCAGTTCATCCTGTATTTCATACCACGAGCTAAAATAGCCGTTAGAACAGATAGACATTATGTGTCTCATGTATTGATAAAACGGGATCGGCAAATTATTCCTCAACCATGGCCGGATCCGACGGAAGCGCCTCAGATAGGCCGTTGTGGTCAGTTGATGCTGAACCGCTAGCCATCGGGCATAACGAAAGACAAGACGTGCCCATGGTGAGGTTGGAAGTAATGGCCCAGCAGACCGGGCTGCTTAAGCCTGAGGAGGACTGGACCGGCGTCACCGATCCAAAAATGAGACGGAGATTACAGAATCGGATCAACTACCGGGCTTGGAGTAAGCGTGTTTACAGTGCCTGTGTTTACGACTCTTTGACTAATGATAAACCAGAGAGGAGGCAGAACATGAGGCTTTATGCCAATGGTTTCATCGATACAAGCTCAACGAATGAGATGAGTAGTATACGTCTCACAAGTATGACAGACAAACTCATTTCCGCACTCTGCTCTTCATCTCTTCTCAATATCGAGGCTCGAATGGCCGACTTCGAGCGTGCCGCCGTTTACGCCTATACATCCTTGTCCCCTAGAACAGATCTTCTTTTCAACTTGACTCAGTTCAACGTGATGAGAGGGCTGTTCATAAACATGGCAGCTATTGGGTACAGCCCACGTCTATTCACGGACGCTTCTGGGACAGTCTCGGGTACGACCATTTCCCCTCTTACTATCCCGGGGGCCAGGCCGGCAGTCTCATCAATGGCAAGCCACCTGCGGCCAACGTCGCTGCAGCTCACAGTGAAGCATCACCCTTGGATTGACCTGTGGCCGTTTCCAACAATGCGCGATAATATACTGAGTCGTGGAGAGGAATACGACGACACCGAGCTCTGCCTTGATCTCGTGGAAAACTACTGTGGCCCCAGCGGGATGTCTGGATTTAGAGTCTGGGGTGACCCGTGGAACGCGGAGAATTGGGAAATCAGTGAAGAATTCCTGATGAAATGGGGCTGGGTTGTCGCTGAATGCAGTGAACTGTTGATTGCTACAGACTATTGGAGGGAGAGGCGAGGAGAACAGGCATTATTTCGTCTATCTACATAATGACCAACTTGTCATGGCCACTTCATTCGTTGACCAAGACATACCGATACTTCGGCTTTCCAGCATCCATCTTAAGAAGAGCATCGTTAATATTCTTCATAGGTAACTCCTCAATCCACGGCTTGATATTGTTTTCAGCCGCCAACTGTAGCATTTCCCTCGTCTCTGCCGGGGATCCGATGAACGATCCAGTCATTTTGACCCTTCTCATGATCATATGAACCTGTGGGTTGAAAGTGACAGAGAGACTCTCGGGCACACCGACCTGGACTAATATCCCGTCATTGCGCACAAGCCCCAAGTAATCCTGGATAGGCACCTGTGTATGTTGTTCAGTACAGCCGCCGCTCTGAGGAATGAGAACAGGATCATACCTTGGAAGACGGGGTAGTTGACAGGAGAATATCAAAAGATCTAGCATGGTCCGAAGCCCAGTTTGGCTCCTCGCCGGTGGCAATGAAGCCATCGGCCCCCATAGCAATGGCATCGTCCCTTTTGCCAGAAGTACGCGAGATGACCGTCACTTTTTCAGCTCCGAGAGCTTTCGCCCAGAGAACTCCAAAGTGGCCCAGTCCTCCCATGCCCACGATGCCCACACTTTTCCCAGGGCCGCAACTGTGATGTCGCAATGGGGAGTAAGTGGTGATGCCGCCGCACATCATCGTGGCCGCGTCGGCAGAGGAAACATCCTCTGGGATTTTGATAACAAAATGCGAAGGGCAGCGATGATAGAGTGCGAAGCCTCCATAAGCAACACCGCCATTGAAATGATAGCCGCCAAATGTACCGACTTGCTTGGTGCAGTACTGGTCGTCGCCGGAGTCACAGTACTCGCAGTCCCCGAAACGGCCGAGGCACGCATCAGCTTGGGAACCAACAGCGACGCGGTCGCCGACTTTGATATCACCAGTAGCGCTGGTGCCGACACGCACGGCAATGCCAGCAATCTCATGTCCAGCAATGCATGGGTAGACAATAGGGCCCTGCAACAAACCGGCCACGGTTAGATCAAATTGTTAGGCAGAGCTGGGTATTAGATATCGGGAACTGACCCAATGACTCCTCATCATGGATAAGTCGCTTGCGCAGATACCACAGTGAGTTACTTTGATATCGATATCGGTCTCTTCCCAGGGCTTGGGTTCAAACTCGGCCCAACGAAGGTTCCCATCAGCTGAAGCAGGGCTATCACCCACCCAGCCTTCGAACTTTTGATCTTTCTGAGCCATTGTTACGGCTGAGTAAAATTTTGAGATTGGGCGTTGTGTTGAGTTGCTTTTCAGTTGCTCTTGGGTTATGTTGGCTCAAGGGGATGCGAGTTTTGACAGACATAACCTCTCCTTCTTATACTTGATAAGAATTTGATCTAACTCCGATTATGTCCGCTTAACTGCCTTTCTATGACCATTTTTGAGTTTTCATACTCATTTCACCTGTGTCTTCTTTCCACCAGGCCCTCATAGGATACCATAGGATAGCTATTCCCGGACTCCTGTGAGAGCTACGACATGGGTAGGATTCGACCTCCCCACTTGGCGCTAAGCAGGTTGCATATTGTGAGGGGGAAGGTCCGGAGTTTCGGGCATGTAATACGGAGCATGCCGATGCCTATCAAATATTCTTGCCCTTCTTCCCATTGGAACAAGCTGTATGGTAAGCTCTGGTATCACAACTTCTACTATCACGAATTCTCGAGTAAAGTGGTACGAGCAGTTCGTTCACTACCACTACTTGTGCTTCATCTTCTACCTCCTGTTATCTCTACCTCTTTCTCTAGTTCCTACGTATTTTTGCATTACATTTAGAGCTCATCGCGTCCCTCTTCGTCCGTATTCTTTCTCTGAGCGAGAATAATCTCCCGTGCTAGATTTGTCCAGAAAGCACACGCAGACTTCGTGTTCTGGTCGTCCGTGATGAACGTGAACGCCGCCTGACCACTCGGCATCTGCACCGACAAAACATCCTTGATAGCATCCCCCGAACTGTCAGCTTTGGGCCAAGTCGGCGACGGATCGCCATATACACCCGGGTGGCCCAGCGTATTTGGGTCACCCGACATGGCAAAGGACGCGAGGTACGTCTGGTATGCCCCGGAGATGCCCGAGTTCACGAGCCGGTCGGCGTAGATGCCCGCAAAGAAGTCATTGATCTGGTCCGTGCTCTTGAGGAGCAAGGTCTTGGCCTCGGCCTGCGAGTTGGCAAAGAGCGCAATCAGGTCGCTGGCGTGGACGGCGACCTCCTTGAGAGGGAAGGCGTAGCGCAGCATGTAGGATTTGCCAGGGTAGGCGGAGAAGAGGTCGCGGGTGTTGCAGGTGAAGGAGGCATCGCGGATCACGACGCCTATACATCTCTTCCAATTATTGTCGTAGTCCTTCCGGCAGTCGTATTGAGTACGGATCTTCTGTCTCTGGGCGGCAAGGTCGTCTCCAGGGAGGAAGAGGCCGAGGAATGTGTTGAAGGTTTCTTCGGAGTTGACGTATTTGGGAGTGAAGCTGTACTGCTCATTCCACGTGTGGGAGATAATGGCAGAACTGACCTTCTTGGAGTAGTGTCCTGTAGGCTGATTAGTTCTCATTCTCCTCGATGATATACCCAGGGCAATAGCTTCTGACCTTGGGAAAAGGCGATAGTTGGTATGGTCTTGACCCATTTCCCATCCACGGAGGGCCCTACAGGGAAGAGACCTGTTTGCCTGACATTTGCAAACAAGGCTTGATTCGCCGCGGTGAGATTTGTTGACTTCCTAAGGCAGGCGATGTCAAACGTCTCGCCACAGCCAGCAAGTGCAGAGAACGTCTTGTAGGTCTTGTCCAGCTTGCCGCCGCCCCTGTTATCCCACGCCCACTCAAATGCAGGACTCTGTACGGCGATTCTGCTGAAGACGGGGTCCTTCTTACCGTCATCTCGGATGACATGGTGCAGGATGGAGCTGGCTCCCGCTGACTCGCCAAAGGCAGAGATCTGGGACTTGTCCCCGTTGACCTTGCCGATGTGCTCCTGCACCCAGTCAAAGAGCAGCGCCTGGTCATAGAGGCCGGCATTCGGCTGCGCGGTCTTCTGCATGTAGTCGCCTGCCAGCCAACCGAATGCTCCAAGTCGATAGTTCCCCGCGACAAAGATAGTCTGGTATTTGCTCTTTGACAGGATCGCCCGGCCCGTGTACAGTGGGCCAAGCTGGTTCTTGCTGCCATATGCAAAGGCGCCGCCATAGAGCCAGACGACGACGGGAGCTGGTGCGGCACTGGAACTCCTAGCCAGGGCCTGCTTGGGGACGTACAAGTCGAGGAAGAGGCAGTCCTCGCCTACCTTGTCACTGGCATCGCCCGGGTCGGTGATGGGCGTTTCACCACCGACCGGGCTCTCGAGGCGCTTGGGGTCGATCGGGATGCAGTTTCGCCCGAGAGAAGGGGGCTGGACGGATGAGTTTGTCCACGATGGGGCTTGTGGCGCGCTAAAGCGTTCGGGGATGCTGCCGAAGCGTACATTCTCGAAGAGGTAGATCTTGGGGCCCAGTCAGTGAGGTAAGTCGGGGGCACGTAATCCTGGCCACTTACATTGCTATCATCAGGGAACGGTCGTCCTTCGTAGGTTCCCCATGGCAGCTTCAGTGTCGGGGGATCTGCCGTAACTGCCGAGTTGGCAAGCCTCAGGGCGGAGAGTATAAACGATCCAAAGTGAAGGGCACGCATATTGCAGATGTGTTCTGGGCCAAGTTCTACGTTTAGAAGCGGAATAAGAATCTCCTGTAGTCGTTCAGATCAGACAATGTATAACTAGCCGTTTTGAAGTCAGTCCTCGACCATGCTCAGCACTCATCGAATCGTCATAGCCTCAAAAGGCCATGAATCTCGATCCCCTCTACGCGGTATGCCGGCAGGGCTAAATCATTCATCCGGCTTATTGTTGACAATAAACTCGGCTATTCCGAATTCTTGAAATGTGACAAGTGATGCTATGCCAGACGCCCTTTTAGAAAGAGCGTTGTGCACAAGCGTTGTAGAGCCGAGCTGAACATTAAGCGCCCGGGCTAGTTGCTAGCTCTGACATCACAGTAATTTCGGACAAGTCTTCGGTTAGATCCTATCCCTATCGTTCAGGTAAGGATTGACATCTATGGGGTAGCTGATGGCAGATCGATATAGTTAAAAGGAGCTTGCTGCAGGTGTGGGCGGTTCGGCTGCGGCACGTACCGCATCTTAGCACAGCCAACTACCGACGGTGGATGCAGGCTATCCAGACTGGGGTATTGGGCACAGAAGTTGTACAAGTGCTAGGAGTAGGGAGTGTAGGCTTATGTACATGTAGCATAAACCGTTCACAAAGCGTGCGGCTAAGTACAAGGTACGTGCCCTATGCGTGTATTCTAGGCTCTTACTATGTAGACATATCAAAACTACCGAAGTGAATACCTACTCCGGGTGCCCGACCCTCTCATGTCCCGCTCTTGTGCATTAGCCAAAGGCAATCCAGTCGGCGGAAACGGCGTATAGCTGACTATCTAGCCACGTATCCCCATGCCACACGAACCCGTCCTGGCTGAGACCATCCGCATACGTCTTGACGCGCAGGTTAGCGGAGGAACCCATGTCGATCTCACTGATGCCGACAAACAGCTTGGGCACCTTGTCGAAGAACTTAGCGGGGAAGGTGACCTCCTTGCTGTTCTCGGGGATGTCAGGAAACCACGTTCTCACGTCGAGGGTGCTGACCCTGCCCGATACGGCCCCATCGCTGTTCTTGGGGTAGGCCACCCATGATGCAGTAGCGCTGTAGAGGATGGTGTCAAGCCAGGACTCAATGTCGAGATCGAAGCCGGTCGCCGTGCAGTTTCTGGCGAGGGCCCGGACGCGATAGTTGCGGGACTTGTCGATGTCCAGGGCACTAAGCCAGACCACGACATTGGGTGCTTCACTGTACGCGCCGTTGGAGAAGCTGAAGTGCTTCCTGTACCTGCGGACCTCATTCTCATCGGGCTGTGGCGGCTGGGAACCTCGCGTGTTGAACTCGCCCACTAGCTATGCTGTCAGTACGCTGCCAAGCGGGACTGTTATGAGAACATCGGGAAAAGAGAAGGGGTAAAACTAGGAATACTCACCCTGATAATCTGAGTCCTCGGGGCCGAACTCGATCCACGTCGCCGTGGCATTGAAAAGTTGCGTGTCCATCCAGGTGTCTACATTCACGACGAACTCATCCTCCGTGACCTGTGCAGCTTGTGCGCGGATACGGATATGGCCCGAGTTCCCAATGTCGAGTGACTTCAAGCCAACGGCGATGCGAGGGACGTCGTGGTAGGGCGCTAGGAACGAGACCGTCTTGGAATTGAGGGCCGTCAAGGGGTACCCCGTACGAATCTCAGGATCAATGCTCAACTCCCCTTGGTCGCGCGTCTGGAACGGGTAGATCCTCCCAATGAAGCTCCTGTCCGTAGCCGAGAGCTTCAAGTTAATAGGGGCCGACGTGTGATCATTGGTCCACTCGGCAGGGTAGAAATAGCACATGATGGAGTTGGCGTCAAAGTCGGACCGCTCCAGAGACTTGATGCTCTCCCATGTGTCGATGATCTGCTTCTTCGTCGTACCCTTGTCCCATCCGTACCGGGCCAGGCAGTCCGACTCGACGCGGGGCACGTTCCAGTCAATCTTCCAGGCCTGGTGCTCGTGGACGCACCCGATGGCGTGCCCAAACTCGTGGACGATGCTGCGGCAGAACTCAGACTCGGTGCTGTCGTCGGTGAGGCTGCCGTAGTTCATGGTTGGCTGCCTCTGGTCAGGGACAGCGACCTGTGCGCGCTTACCGACCTGAGACCAGGTACCAAGATCAAGCGCCTTAGGGTATTGAGGATTCGGCCTGCCACCAGATATGAGTAAGGACAGGTCAGGGAGGGACGGTGTAGAGAGACGCACCATTTGAAGGAGACACGAATATCTGCGTCGCCATCCTCGACGAAGCGAAAGTCGATATTGGCATACCTCTCCCAGATCTGAGAGTAATCTCTAACTTTCTGCTTGAGCTTTGGAGTGCCGTTGAGGAAGCGGACCTTGAGCTTCTTGCCCTTGGGCCACCAGAGGTTGCTGTCAGCAGCCAAAAAGCTCGGCTCCCCTTCTCGGGAGACCAAGTTGCCGCCAGGCAGGGAGACAGACTCTGCCAGTTTGGCATCGGCCGAGCAGTAGGGAAAGTCAGGGAGCGATTCCGTAGTCATGTTGATTGATCGTTGGGTTTGTACAATTGCGATTTGCTGAATATATGCCACAAGACGAGACAGAGTATGGCCAACCAGGCAAAGTGTGACTGTCAGGATACTGATATAGAGTTCTGATACATGCTCACCCAAGTCATGGGACCTTTTTAATCGAATTATGCGTAGATATGGGTGTGTAGAACCCCTACGTGCCTTGATGCACTGAGTATGTATCATTCAGTATCTTTACCTGCCTATGGTACTTCGCCTACCGCTTATTGAATCCCAATGCGTAAATCCATATAATACGCCGGGACCATCCTCAGCGGCAGCAGCGATATACCCAACATTTGACGATTGTCATGAAAAAGTGCGGCCGTTGTGTCTTACGTAGAGTAACCTTTCCTCTCTCGCCATGAAGTCCAGATACAGCTATACTTGCATAAGCTGAACCGAGATATTGATCACAGTACAGCAGCACAAACGCAAACGAGCGACAACATGACTGATCACCTTGAGCTAACATGAAGCGCGTTCAGTAGCGACATGTAGGGCGGCTGGGATTGGCGGGCTCAGCCTTCTCCTAGCCGCGGCCGTCTCGTGCGGCCCGACGCCAACGCAACGCTAACGCAAGAGGCCTCTGGATGTCACAATTACAATAGCGCAGGCAGTTGAGACATTAGATACTTATCAGGAAACGATCCGTAGCGCCCCAATAGCTGAAATGTGCATACATGGGGCGACGACCTACGTTGGGAAAGGAACACATCGAGACTCCTAGCTGAAGAGAGTTCATTGACGTCAAGAGGATTACGCTTCAACACATCATGCCTCAGAACGTGCAGCTGCGGACTGCTGAGATGCAGCCTGCGGGGAAAGGAGTTCAACGGGATGACAGGATGCCGAGAGTAGCGTTGTTGTCCAGAGCCTAGGTAAGGTGCGCCATCCGAATGTCTCACGCCCCTGGCCAATTACGCCATCCACCGTGGTCAAGATCGTGATCCTGCCTCGCTTGGAGCTTAGGAACTCCAAGCTTAAGCACCTGTCTGTAGACTAGCGGAGCTTTCGCAGGAGCTGAAAGGGGCCGTGCCTTTGATTCGTCACGTCTGCAGATAGGTTATGGCCTCAGTCGATCAAAGAGACGAGCTTGTTGACATGTAAGCGGGGCATAACGCAAGAACGATGGTGGGAACAGTGCTGGACCAAGGACTGAAAGATTGATTGATCAATGTCGAAGACGTGCTGAAGGGACTCACCTTGCAAGTACAAAAGGGAGCCCTTTTCCCTTCAAGTCCTGACATTTCTCATCAGCAAAGCATCCAACTTACTACCTTCACCTCAATATCATCATTCAGCTCTCTTCTGAGATCACCGATTTCTCAACTTGACTACCAGACTTCACCATGGCTCAGCAGACTGTCGGTAAGTAGAGGTCACTACACAAGACTCTAAGACTTGGCTATTAACACCGAGTTTTCAAGGTGCTATCATCAGCCTCCAGGCCCCCCAGGAAGGCGACAACGTCTGGGAGGCCCGCCAGGTTGACCAGGTCCTCAACCTGCCTCCTGGCGACGGTCAGGGCCGAGTGACCATCGACTGGAGTTTTGGTCCTGTCAAGGTGTGTAAAGAACTTTTTCCTCCAACGCTGGGCATGCAGCATCCTAACGATGTGTGTGTATAGATCACTGGCTACGTCGACACCAACACTTTCGAGATTGGCGTTAGCGTGAGCATCCTCGGTATCAACATTGGCAACATCTTCGGAAACCTGAAGGATGGTGTTGGCGTCAAGGTCGACCTGTTCCTTGCCAGTGGCTCCATCAAGATTTACCTCAAGAATGGCAACGAGGTCTGGGTCCACCTTGACATCAAGGTTAGGTTTGATGGACACTTCGAGGGTGACTACAAGATCCTCACTATCTAAGTACCTACATGGTAGTCTTGCGCACATCCCCTCGGCATGAGCTGGGAGGAAGTAGTAGCGACGATAGTTGAAAATAGTAAATCCAAATAAAATAGGGTTCATCGACCACTCCTTTTGTTTCCAGTTAAGACCATAGTGAAGATTGACTTAATGTCTTTTTTCCCCTGACAATAGTTGACTCCTTGAATGTAAGGGATCCTATCTGCTCTCTGTATATCAACCTAGTAAGGGCTTGGTTAGTATTTGGGTCGGTGATAACTAGCGAATACCGGCTTTTTTTTTTTTGTGTCTTCTTTTTCTTGCCACAGATAGCAAGGCTACAACTCCTTTGATGAAAGGGCGGGATCATTGGAGATTACGCGACTGTAGTTCAATTATAACGGGATTTTGGTTTGCGAATCAATGGGCTGGGCAGGAACTTCGGTAGCTTGCCTTCAGTGCTTGATCCTACTAAAAAAACGGGGGAAAAAAGGAAAAACCCCACTGCAAGAAATCTTCAAGCAACGCGTAACCAAAAAAATCAATTCTAGCAATCCGGTTAATACAGCCCAAGTTCCTGGTTTCTATTGTTGTTAGTCCTCAGT